TTAAACAGAATTTGTAGAAAATTTTGTATTCTACAATATTGATGATGAAAACAAATAGCAAAAAACCCATAGGAAATGAGATATTTACAAAAAAAGCGCAAAAAACCGATTTTTGTGACCATTGACCTTGAAATTTAATAGTTGCGTACACCCTACCATATGTAGGTTTTGAGACAACTTTTAGGGTGTCAATATACAAGTACCTTACCTAATTTAAGCTTAAATGACTGGTGTAATTTGAGGACCCTGGTGGAAACTGACCCTTTACAAATGGCGAGTGGGATGGCGAAAGAACTGGACGTCAGCTCCAATACGGTTTTTGATGATTCAAAACGTATTGGAAAGGTCAAAGAGCTCGAAAAGTAGGTGTCCCACGATTTCAACGATCGTCAGAAAATGTCACGTTTCGAGATCTGTTCTTCTTTGCTTCTGCGCAACCAAAATGATCATTTTTTGGATCGGATCGACACGTGAGATAAAAAGTGGATCCTCTACGACAACAGGAGACGTTCAGGACAGTGGTTGGACATCAATGAGCCAACCATGCGCTTTCCAAAGGCGAAAACCCACCAAAAAAGACCATGGTTACCTACTGTATGGTGATCAGCGGCTGGTGTGATTCACTATAACTTTCTGCAACCGTAAAACTTTCCGAATTCTTGAAAATTAACATAGAAAAAAATGGCAGTACTTTTAGAAAATTGAACAACGACTTTATTATAATGGATACAAGCAATAAAAATTCAGTTATTAATCAGTTACACATGAAAATTTGCGTTACGAAATTGCCAATATAAAACACATTGTAATGATAGAGTTCCAGATACATTGAGTAAATTTATTGCTACACCTGTACCTGGAAACCGGTCTGATACTATATGTACACTCTTGTTAAAGATTCTGAACCGTCTGTACCACACTTCAATTCTGCAGACTTCTCGGATAAGGTGATATCACGAGTTATATAAGTAAATTTTAGAACTTTTAAAAATATCCATTTCAATTGTTGAGCAGTGGATATTTAAAAGAGAAAGTATTGTTTTTTTATTGTGATTTTAATGCACACCGTCTTCTGAAACCTAATACATATGAAATTATTTTCATTAGAATAAGTAATCAATTTTATTTTAGATAGGACGCAAGTTTCAAGAAACCTTTTTGTCGAAATTTTCGTCAATCTTTAAACGGCACGAATATGGTAAATTTTCTCGAACGTGATTTCTTCATCTGTTTAATCTGTTCAAAATCTGTCTTTCCGGTAATCAGCTGTCGCCCCCATACGAACGACAGCCCTCAGAAGTTGAGAAAGGTGTGCGAGCTAAGGACTAACGAGGTCCTACCTTTTAACGTGGGTAGTTGGGAATTCAGATACA